GCTGCCTAGGACAGTAGCATCACAGCTCTGCTCTATGCTACACACGCTGCCTAGGACAGTAGCATCACAGCTCTGCTCTATGCTACACACGCTGCCTAGGACAGTAGCATCACAGCTCTGCTCTATGCTACACACGCTGCCTAGGACAGTAGCATCGCGGCACTGATCTTCATATAGTTGACCATCGTACTCAACGTTGTTCTCCCCGTTTTCAGAGTCAGATACATCTAGATCAGCGTCGCCTACGGAGCACATTCTGTCGTCTGCACCGTCCCGTGTCACCGGAGAATCTGCATCGGAGTCAACTACAGTTCCTGTCTGGCAGCGCGTGGCGCGTGCATCCGCTGCATCGCCAGCCGCGTCGTGCCTACAACCGATGGCAGCGTTGCCGGCTTCGTCTATATCCCACCAGTCAGCACTTCCCTGCATCTGTTCGTTCCCAGACTCGATCACCACCATCGTCTGCGCGCCCGTTTTCAAACTCCCACATTCCGGCTTGCGTAATTCTTCGCCCCCTTTTGGCTTCACATCGCGACCAGCTTCCGCAGCTTCCGGAAGCGGACGCGTTGTTACCGTAGGCGTAATAGCTGCACGCGCTGACTCCGTTTTCGTCTTACGAGTCCTGCTGGTGGCCGCGTGCACGTTGGACTGCGCACAGGGTCGTCTCGTGGCTCTCTCCTCTCTCCTGATTGCCTTCCTTCGCTCATCCAGTCGCTGCTGCTGCTGCTGCTGATGATGATGATGATGACGCTCGTTCTCTTCAGCTTGCCTACGCTCTGCCTCGATCTGTTGCACGCGTCGCTGCTGCCTGGCCCACACTCTGAGTCGCTTCCGTTCTTCTAGTGCAGAACGGAATCTCCGCCTCACCCTGCAAGTCACTCACGAGCGTACATATATCGCACGAATATCCAGCTTCCGTATGCGCTATCGATACCCTATAAGTAATGCCATGTAGAAGCATCACTGTGTTACCAATTTACTTGTCAGCAACTTGAGTAATGCAAAATGTTTGAGCATTTAATAAGCACATGACTTTAGTGCACTAAATTATGCTCATATATACACTTCACTTCAAAACCCATACAAATATTAAACTAACAACATTCTCAATGGGTTATAGAAATGAAATAGTGCAACGAATTGATAACCATTAAGAGTACAAACCTCACTCCACGGTACGCAGCCTGCAAAGTTATGGCAGCCTTTGTGGTCTTTGACAGCCTTTCTTGTCTCTCGTCTTTCAATGTCTGCTGGAGTCTAGATATTTCCTGGTCTATCCTGCCCATTTCCTGCTGTAAATTATAGTTCTATGTTTACGCTACGGTGTCAGTGCTAGGAGAGAACCATGCTATTATGATAGTTTACAACACTAGCATATGGTGCTCTGAAATTTAAATACCACAACTCTAAATTGAAAGATATATATATGCAAAATGGCTGAATTAAATAGCCATGATTAACACTGTTGGTAGCTGTAGGCTATATCAAGTAATAGCATACAGTTTAAAAAAACTGCATTTCTCATGCATTATGCTAAAATTGAAACAATAACATTTTCTTTCTTTTTTCTTCTCCTTCGTTTCTTTTTTTTCTCTTTTTTTAATCTTAAGAAGGGGGATATTTGTACAGGCATTCGCCCTCTCTTCATAGAGCCGGAGGGGATGCATGCCCCTCATCCCCGAATTTTACGCCTGGTGGCGAATCACTTAAGAGCGCGCGGGCACGCTTCTAGGGTTGGTTTGCAGGAGGGGGGAGTTTCCTCCTCCCAGCAGAAGCGCGGAGCTCTGACGTTTCATTAATTATTAGAGAAAGAAGACGATTCGTTGTACCGCGTTCTCGACTCCTAATTTTCAAAAATTAATATTGAGGATTATTGATTAAACATAGATTTCGATTTGTTTAAGATCATCTTTAGAAAAAGAGCATCATGCATCGTGATAAATATATTGACGTTTTAAATGCAACCAATCTTACCAAACAATCAGCTTTCATCATAAGATTTCCCCACTAATTGCTAGCAGGACTGTGTGACAGGTCAGCCCACACGAATAAGGAAATAAACAGTAGCACGTAGAGAACCCCGACCTCGCTGTACCAGCAAATATCCGATAGAGGCTCGATAGTCTATTATTGTGTAGGTACGCATGACATGTTATGGCCGGGAGGCTGGATGAAAAGGCGAACTGCGCTGGCTCAAAGGCTCAGTTCAATGTTTTTAGCAAATTATTTTTAAATATTAAAAAGATATCTGTTGTTTCTTTTATGATCTTTTTAACACAGGCTCTGTCATGTGTTTTGTATGCTCCTTTTTCTTCCTACGTCCTCTACTTTTTTCTTTCTTCTCTCTCTTTTTTTTTGGTCAGTCGGTTTTTTGGCGGGGGGGGGCGAGGCGCCCTCCGCCCCCTTGGCTACGCGCATGAACGTACCCTGGGTACGGTCCGGTATACCGGCTCTGCGTTGTCAGCGCGCGTTACGCTCGTGCGTGCCTGCGCGTTCGTTAATAAGCTGTGCGTAACGCGTGCGTAGTGCGTATAAGTAGCAGTGTGTGCATATGCAAGTACGGTACTGATATTCGACGCCTTGATCGAGCCTCCGAAGCACAGGATGCAGGCCCAAAGTCCGCACGGCTATTGAGGCAAATCACGGCGGCTGTGCATGTCTGTTTTGCTATAGAGTAAAGGCTAGAGGGAGCTTCGTCAAACTTTGTAATTTTCGCAGTTAAGGCAGATGAAAAGTGTGGATAAACACTCTCTATTCGGCTCTTTCCCCTCCTGCTCCTCCTTACGCTTCTTTTTTAGCTCATCTGACATAGTCAGAATTGCAGCTTGTAGAACCGCACTGATGGTCGTCTGATCCCGGTCGTGCCCGTCGTCCGGTGCGTCCGTCGTCCGTCCGTCCGTCCGTCCGTCACCAGTTGGGGCACAATCTTAACCGCTCGACGTAGCGGTCAGCGAATATTCGGGTCGTTGGGGGGGACGTCAAACGAGTTGGATGTCAAGCTGGGGTCAGGTCAAAGGTCAGAGGTGTAAAAGAAGGGGACCATTCCTGCCTAACTTAAGGTATCAGGAGGAAATGCAGATTGCGGCTACAAATCTAACAGGCTCGACCGTAGCTGCGTGATAGTCGGTGTATAGCATCATGGTAGGAAAAGCAATCACTGTGGGGCCGAAAATTGGAAGTTGGCAGGTCATAAGTCATGGGCAAGGGCAGAATTTTAGACATTTTCTGAGGAGCATGGTCTACGGAGCGGTTGAAAAACTTTTTGTTTCAGCGTGACTAGGCATTTTTATGGCTTTATTGAAAGGACATCGAAATGTCCTTCTGCTGACATGCGAAGAGTAAGTGTCGGATAACCTTTTGCGCCTCCAAGAGGAGGGTTAAACATGATTTGTTGACTGTTAACGAAGGAGTGAACTTTGCTTTTGCTATTAGAAGCCGCCCTCCCCCACGCCTCCCCACCACCTCCCCTCGCCCTTCCCCCCCCTCCCCGCACCCGCCTCCCCATCCTTCCCTACGCTCATCTGCGATAGTGGGCGTGTCTAACATGATGTTAGCGCAACTGTGTGTCTGATATCTGGCGGGCCTAACAAATGTGGTAGCTACCACGACTGAACTTTACGTTTATAAGCGTAGCAACAGACGCTCAGATGAGCAGACCACTCTGCGGCTCTTGTTCTCATATTCTGTCGTGCGGCTTATATCTGTCGTGCCACTATTTCTTTTCGATCATACAAAAGACATATAGACAATATATTTTTCTGGGCCAAAAAGTGGGGGGCCCGGGCCCCCCGCGGCCCTCGCGTAGCGCGCCGCCCCTGTTATTTATTTTAATTACTAGGTACCGGGAAACATAGGTACCGGGACACATAGGTTACCTTTTGGGTACTGAGACACATAGGTACCTGTAACTGAGACACAATAGGTAGCCGGACACATAGGTAGGCCGGTACAGCAGTGCCGGGAACATAGGTCACCGGGACACTAGGTACCCTGGGTAGCTGGGACACATCAGGTACCTGGTAACTGGGAGCACTATACGTACGGGAGCACGCTCAGGTACCTGGGTACTGGACACATCGTACCGCGACACATAGGTAGCGGGACACTAGTAGCTGGGTACTGGGACACATAGGTCGGGACACATAGGTTTTTTTAAAACCTTGGGGTACTGGGACACATAGGTATGGACCCAGTAGTAGTACACCGCCCGAGCGCGGCTGTGCACAAACAACAAGAATAAATACCCGTAGTTCTTATAGACTTAGTAGGCCTAGAGTTCTAAGAATAAATTATTTTATTCTTGTTTGCAGAGGAGAATTTGGATGAACGGCATTTACAGGAAATTATCGGCAATAATAGGCGAAAGAGAGTATATATACTATAGAGAAACAAATTAAGAATTTTGTAGTAAATACTAAATACATTTCGTGTTTATTATTAAAACGTTCCAAGTTCCTGTGGTAGATATGAATAAGCAAGAACATGAAGAAGACCCCTGTCGATTTTTAAGTCTCCACCCCCCACATTTGCGAAAATGAGGGCCGCGGTCCAAAACGGCCATTGCACCGGCAAGGCCGGTCTATCTGTTGCTAGTATAACTATACTAAAATTGCTGTATATTAAATAAGGTTATGGACGATGACATTTTTTTCTGGTCTATAATCTTAGTGACTCTGAGTGCTCACGCACAGATCACCTGTATTTCTGCACTAAATATAATTAAGCCATTCACATGCCACTTTCACTACACATAAATAATGCTTTATATTTACTAGAATTCGAACGGTGAGACTTGGATGGAGATGTAAGTCTGCAGACACGTTTTCAGTTCATGCTGTCAATGCTACAGCAACAGGAGAAAGATTTACAAATGTGTTACAACAAACAAGACAAGTTGTTTATTGACCGTGAGTATAATGTATTGTGATTGTACAAAACAGCATAGAAAAATTGCTCTCACTCTCACTCTCTCTTTATCTATCTCTGTCTCTCTCCATCTTTCTGTCCCTCTCCATCTTCCCCTCTCATTCTCTCCATCTCTGTCCCCCTCCTTTCTCTCGCCCTCTCTCCCTCCCTCTCTTGTTCGCAAAGACCAGTGTGTCAGTGTTAGTGTTGCCTCAATGGCACCACCTACTGTTACAACAAGTAACACCCTTGCCAGTCACCCTTCACATTTACGTTCTGTCGTGTTAGGTTGCGAACACTTGGATGTGATAGACAACCCAGGTAATGGATTCCTGGGTCGTGAACAAGGAATGAAGGAGATTGGAGAAATAACCGAGTTATGACGAATGGGGAAGCTCAGCTAGTAGAACAGTCGACAAGCTAAGAAGGTAACGAGTGGATGGACTGACACACTAGCTTTGCCATCACAGACATTAGATCAAGATAATGTCTCATGGGAATCTGAACAGAGGCAGAAGCAGGAGGAGCTCCGAAGAGAACAGTTTCTCTCCTCCTTTAGAGACTGCGCAGACAGGCAAGATGAAAGACAGAGGCATCTTACCAGCCAATCATTGCTACTACAAGCATTAGAACCGGTACATTTCATTTTTCTCTGTATATACTGTGTGCAAACTATCTCGCTATCTCACTAACCTATTCTTAGTTTTTCCTAATGGATAATTAGGGGCGTGTACAGGATTTGTACCAGGGGGGTCTAACCATAACCCAAAACTTGGCGATACTACGCGAAGGGGTGTCTTGGGGTCTTTGACCCACTTAGATGGCGTTTTCTGTGTGAGCAAGGGGCGGGGGGGTCCAGACCCATTGGACCCCCCCTGTACACGCCCCTGATAATGAAGTAAAGGTTTGTTATAGAAAAGACGTACTATAAGTATTATGTCAAACTATACTATTTACTATAAGTCTAATTTAACTCAAATAATGGTGAAGACCAGACTCGCAGATTTCTTAAAATGGATATGCATAAATGTGCTGTACAGCCTGTACTGCCTCTAAATGTACCACATTATTATGTTGTTATTTTCAGGTACTTTTATGCGAGAATAGTAAAGATAATTCTGAGACTGAGGAATTGACAGCAGAACTAATGACCCACCAAGTAACACCATTTTAAGCATTTTCCAGCATGTTGGCAGTTATCCAAATGACCAGAATTGTTATAGATTTTTCTTTTAT